CTAAGATCCTCAACCAAGCTGATCAATACTCCTCAGCTCCGGCCATGTTGCAGCACTGGCAAGTTACTATTGAACCGTGAACACTCATCCTGCTCAGCGTCACTGGCGTCTGTCTATTCCACCATAGTACAGTGTGGTCCATTGATGCCTTTAGCACCTTGACAGCTGTCTCGACACCAACAGCAACCTCCAGTTCGACACGCCTTGATACCGACCCTTTCGATATTGACGATCCTCGATATCGAACACTGCCCACTGTTCTTGGTTTTTCAAGAACTCCCAGGACAAAAGTAAATGTCTCATAAGTGCTGATGATGTGGCTTGTGCTTTGAGATAGACTCTTGGGGCACATAAAACCTGATCAGATGCAGGAATGCACAACCAGAGTTACAAAGGTGATGTTCATGGAAATCTTCTCATCACACATGACTTCCCATCAATTGGCCCATTTTCCAAAACATTATACCATGTGAAATGGAAAGGTAAGAAAGGCAGCATGAAGAATAGCCAGTTACCTTATTACCCTAGAACTTGGAATAATACCATTATTGCTGGCATCACAGTGATTTGCTCAGATTCATGGGATTACTTATGTACCCTTCCCAAAATGAAGGCATCCATCACACTTTTCATGGCAATGGAAATGACCATGGATTCATCAGTAAAAAGGGCATCCAGCCTTGTCAGGTCTACCATTGTAAAGATGAATTATACATATGTATTCAGCCACCCAAGTACAATACTTTGGCTAGTGATGATTATTTGGACAGGCTGAGGCTTAAAGGCCAGATGTTCCACTCCCACTAGGAACTAATTCTGAGGAAAAACTGCTAGATATTTCTGTTCCAATCAAAGATGTTGGAAAATGTAGAAAGCACTTCAGTCTTTCAGTAATAGACTTTATGTTTACAGCTGCTAAAACCTGGTTTATTTATAATTTGCCTACATTATGACATTTACAGCAAATCATGTTTCTGGCACTGACAAACATTCAGTCCTGCCTAAGCTTCCTAATATTATGTAGAGCTAATGAGTGAGGAGGGGAACCAGGGGTGAACTTGCTAACTCCCCTTCATTTTTTAAATTTATTCTATTTATATCCCGCCTATCTGGTCTTACGACCACTCTAGGCGCTTACAAACATATCACTGTTCTTATCACCTTCCATGTGTCTGCCATGAAGAGCATTCTTTGTCTATGGAAAATTTAGCTGCTACATACTTTTATAATACCTTCATATGGCTACTGTCTCTTGAATGAAAGTCCTTTTTATATCACCACTTTGCATAGTTTTCAGATACCTAAGTAACATTTATTTTTATCCTTTCACCTTTTTTGCTTTGAAAAACATCTGTGTCTGGAGCTGGTTAATTTCTTGAAATATCAGTGTATTCTTCCAGCAAGTCATCTAGCAAAATTTTGCCATTGCTCACAAGCTGTGAGTAATGGCAAAATTTATCAGTTCTGACGACACAGCTGTGGTATCAACTGAACTTCAATATTAAGAAAATACAAGAAGAAACTAAAAGCCAGTCTAGGTGATAGTAAGAAAATGGGAAAATAAATTTCACCTTTCTTTATGGGAAGAAAATTCTTGTTGTAAAAAGGAATTTCTGAATAAATGATATTGACTAAGCTGCTCATTTAGCAGTTACATATATTTATTTAGGAAGCAATTGAGTTCATTGTGTTTCCCTCCTTCCACCTATGAGAAAATATCAATATATATTATTGACTGACTCATAATTAAGCCTCTGTAACAGATTTCAAAGAAGTGGTGAAAAGATCTTTGGCTGAGTAGGTATTCCTTTAGTTGATATGTATGCCATGATAGTGGTTTATGAATCTGTTCTCTACGAGCAAATCCAGCATTAACCTGCTCGTTTCATCCAGATTTGATTTAGAGTATTCTTGTATATGGATTGATTCAGTTATTTATTCTGCTCTGATCTTTTTCCTTCAGTATTTTTTCTTCTGTAAAAAAATATGGTAGTGTCTTATACTGGCCTTGAAGCTTTCATTGACGGAAACATGTTTTTGACATTACTTAAACAGTAAACTTTTATTGTGCTGAGTTTCAATGTTTACATCCCTGATTCATTTGGAAAGAACAAATGCCAGTAGTGATAGAGATTATCTTAAAAGTTCAGAAAAAAATCCACCACAAATAAAGGTAGTGAGGAGTATGGGCATGTGTTATAAATGAGAATGTATGCTTAAAAGTGAAATGTGCTGTTAAAACAAACTTAGAGAACAATAGACTGCAATTAGGTGGTGAAATACACAGCTACTAAGAGCAACTGTACATTGTACATTGTTGCCAATTGCAACTTATTGCACTTTGAGGATACAGTTACATCTGTTTCTCTGACCTCAAAAATAGGTTTATAAAAGACACCCATTTCTGATACTCACTGTGGCTATTTTTCTTTGCCATATGGTGGCTTATATGTCTAATGCCCAGTTGAGAATTGACTGCAAGGACAGATGGACCATCTGCTGAGTGTCAGATAGAAATCATTTTATCCATTCACGATTATCCTCCTACTTCCTACTAAAGAACATGGAACTGTGATTTTCAGATCACAGTGATACATTCAAATAAATTATCATGAAATCCATCTATTTATCTGTCTAGCTATTATCTGTAAGGAATTAATTTGCTGGCTCGTTCTGAATATTCACCTGGGTGTCACAATTCTTAGGAAGTAAAACATACTGTTCTGGTAATTCAACTTTTAATTCCAGTGCTCACTTTTCAAAACATTGCTTTAAAGTGACATTTTCTCTTGAGCTTGCAACAAATATGAGTTCTTAAGTTAAACTGGTTGGTTGAGGACAGATACAGTGCAAATTCTTTTTGAAGACTGACTGCATAGAAAGAAGTGAGTCTCTATAAAACTACTGAAAGTCCTTATGTCTTGTTTCAAGGTTACAACACAGGGCAAAAATGTACATCTGAGCATGGATTTCCCATTTATTTCAGTGAACAAGGCACAGCTGAGTGCAGGTCTCTAGCAATGAAATGAAATATGAATAGTATGTTCCATACACACACTAGAATACTTAGGTTTAAACTGCAGTTTCAAAAAGCCTAGGAAATTGCCCCCAAAATTCAAGCTGGTAATTTAGAATATGACTTCAATATGCATGTCTTGCTAGAGTTAAATGATTTGTTCAATTCTTACATCAGCATGGACTGTTATGAATACTAATACTGACGTACCCCAAAATAAAGGTGTATCGATTGACATTACATCATTTTCAGAGTAATTGTGTGATTCCTTGTTGTAATGGAGTCTAGGGGAAAATAAGTATTTTACATAGTCATACCTTTTCTCTCTAAATTCCTTGCATGTGAGAGGTTTGCTTGTCTCTCTGTATGCTTTCCTGTATGCCCTGCACACAGGGCACATTTTAAAATCCAGAAGACAGCATAGAAAGAGACAGTTGGTTCATCATAGCCCCAAGAGACAGAGGAATGTCTGTGGTTGCATGCATTAGGGATTTAATGGATCAGCTGCCCAGGATTCATTAATTCCTCTCTCCATGGTGTATAAAGCAAAGGATGGGGGAAATGTCAAGGTGTATAACTACTAATTCATCAGCTTTATACTACTTTGACTGCCATAGCTTCTCTTAAAGAACCCTGGATTGATAAACAAAGTATAACCATTAGTTGGAAAGCTAGCAAAGAGCATAATTGACTTCAATAATTGGAAAGTACGTATTTCAGGTTATTTCAGATGCTGAGAATACTCTGTTAGAAGCCTTTCACCGACTATGTTTTCCAGGGTATTATGGACAAAGGATTTTTTAAAGAGCTCAAGCTTAGGTATTTATATACTCTTGATCTGTAAGATTCATGGCAATGATCTTCGGGCTGATAACCAAACTGAATGTGAAAATTGCAACATGCTTTTGTGCTGAATTCCTTGATTTTGTTTTTGGGACTTAGATAATATAAAGGAACAGTGGGATGAATCGCAAACCTCAAGTAGACTTTCCTTCATTGCCTCCTCTGTTCCATTGCACCCCTCCTTTGTCCCCCACACAGAGGCCGCCAGGAACTGTGTGAGATACAATGTAGCATGCTAAAACTGATGTCAAAGCAGAATTGCATGCTGGTCATTTAAACACACCTTAGAATCAAATCTATGTTAAAATGGCATACTTTTCTAGACAAATTGTCCCAAGATAAAAAATCATAACAGATACTGTAAACTGTACAGCGAGTCCCACAACTCATTATGCAACAGATAATGTCTACAATGATTTCTTAAATGATTTTAGTCTGCTTCTAAAAGTTACACAATTTTCCAGGGTAACTAGGGAGGAGGATCTGGGCCTCTGTTTGTAGCTGCCTCTGTACCTTAAGGTGGTTTGCTGTTGATCTGTGCATTTTCTTTTGTTTTGAAAGTACACATGGAAACATAAACTTCATGGGCAAAATTCTACATTATTATATCAATTTGCTGTCCTGAACTCTCATAAAGAAAGATAGGATATATATCAAATAAACAGCAATATGTTTCCCTGACCCACAAACTTATTTATATTGGCACATAATGATATTTTGTGATTCCACATGTTAAGTATTTAGTTAGTTCACACTCACAACAATGAGAATTTACCATGCCTCATATTCAGCTTTTATGGTTAATGCTAAGTGCTCATCTGAACTTATCTGATGATCTAGCAAGCTCTGAAATGATAGTCACTTTCCATAAGTTGTTCTTTGAATTAATTTAATTCCTTAAAATCCTGATATGTTTATTTTGTGAATAATTTAATGATAGCAAACCTTCTGTCACATGAAAAGCAGCATATATTGTTGCTTATGAGCCCTTGGGTAACAAAATCAGATGCTTATCAAAACCTTGCTAGGCCTCCATAAATGCCTTATACACTGAATTTGACTTGGTGGATCATAGCTCTTTCAACCTAAATTATATTGTGAAAATTTTGTACTTACTTGTCACTTTTGTATTTCTTTTCAGATTCAGATCAGGAACTGGATGCTGCAAGTTCCAACTGAATATGGATGATTTAAATTAAATCTGACTAATACAGTATGCAAAATCTCAGTAAACAGAAGCAAATCTTTAGAAACCATATGGTACTTGTTTTTATAAAGAAGAAGAAGAAGAAGAAGAAGAAGAAGAACAGTTTTGCTTACAAGCCTGCAACATAAGGAGCCCTTGTTATTCTAAAATCTGTGATGAGGTTAACAAATTTGGCAACAGTACTTGGGGGCGGGTATCTGCTTCATAAATTGTTGCTTCTGCCGTTCATGTTTCTGACTAAACTAGGAGCATACAATGTAAATTGTTACATAGGTGGGATAAGAAGAATGGAAGGAAAAATAGGAGAAAATATATGGCCCAGCCAGATGACTTATTGACACAACTGCATGGTCATTAAGAGATACTCCAAATCTGCAGCTGTGACCGTGTAAAATAAATCCTGATGACCAACCAGAAGAATTTGCATTAACCCGTTTTGATTATAAGTAAATTATCTTATTGGAAACCAGTGCTTATGGACATTAGCATCAAACGTTTTACATTTTACAGCAAAGTCCATCTGCAGCTAAGTATCACTGCTGCATGAACCTGAACACGTTTACTCAGAAATTATGATAAGTTGCAATCCGAAGCACATTTACTTACTAGAAGTAGAAGTCCTATTGGGTGAAGTCCTGCCTGGTGTGAGCGGAAATGCACAATGAGACTTTTTGATCCCCTTTGTAACTGTGCTGTTTCTTCACCAGAGGGTCCCACAAAATGCACCAGAGCAAATTTCAAGGGTTCTTGGGGTGAGGGGAGGGCTACAGATTCCTTCTTTCTGTCTCACCGATAGAAGCAGTTCTATCAACTGGAAGGATTAACTGGATACCACCCATTGTGTTAAGCACATGTGTCTTGCTGCATAAGTACTTAACTCATTGGGAATTATGCCGTACAAAGTGTGCTTAGGAGTATAGCTTTTAAATGCCACATGTTTTCAAGAAGAGAAATTAAGTGTTTAAACATGTATTCATTTTCTTAAGACTAAGTATCACGGAATACAATGAGACTTGACTCCTGAGTAAGCATGTATAGGCTTCTACTGATAAGCACATCTCTAACTCTCCCACTGATTGTGTTCAGAGGTTGAGTGGGTGATGTTGGTAGTTCACTGATAATGTACGTTTTGCTGCTATCCCTAAACCTGTGCTGTTTTTCCTGGTCTTGTTCTTCTCAGCAGACCCACACTCATCCCATTTAAAAATGTTTTGAATCTGTAGATTTAAATAAGCACATGCACTGAGACTGTTTTGGGCATGGTGGATTATCAACAGTCAACTAAGACACACCTTGAAAATGAAAAAAGTTCCTTGTGCATATATAGAGTTCCTAGTGCAATGGGTTTTTCACTGATTTCAAAGGCAAAGTAGCATTAAGTGTCCTGTCTTAGCTGGGTTGTCCTTACCTTTAATGGGAGAAGCCCACTTTTGTGGAAACTCTATGGTACTTAGAACTGCAGCAAATGGAATTGGGAGGTGAAAGTGAATCCTGTTTAAAACATATTCATACTTGACAGAATGTACTGTGCAGGCATCTTTTTAAATGCCTTAAATTACAAGCCTAACTTTATAAGAAGGCTTAAGGATGCAGATGCTGCTATTGATCTGGATATGCATGGTAGTATATAATGCACTGGACAGGATTTCAGAATGTAAAGATAAGTCTTTTTGAAAACTGGCTGGAGTACCTTTCTTTTCCAGCCATGTTTTCGCATGCTGTATATATGTTTCAGTATCTGTTTCATGGCCCTATAATTATCAATTCTCCCCAACCCCTCCTTTTTTAAAAAAAGAAGCATAACTTTATCTGTATAGAACAGAGAAGCATGTAAATAAATGATATAAAGATGATTTTGTTTATATGGAAACAGATGTTTTATTAATCAGAAGAGTGGCTCAATGAATGTGTTTGAAATTTCTGTCACTCAAACAGATGTCGTGTGTTGCATTCATATACATGCTCACATGGAAGACAGTCTTTAATTCACTGATTTTTTTTACATTAGGAAGGATTATCCTGGGTTCATGATGAGCTGCACTTTTTTCTCATTGTTGATAGTGATACATAAAATGGGGATAACTCCAGGAGCAGTCCTCTGCTTGCACTGAATTCAAGTCATCTAACAAGGAAAGCAAGGTGAGGCTCAGAGATGGCTGGTCACCACATCTACATTACTGCTTTCTGCAAATGATGTGTGAAAAAAACATCCTTATATTGGTAGGACATAATTCGGAATGAATGTATCTCTAATCAAGCTAGTCATAAGGCATATTCTACTGTAAGGGAACTGCTTAGAATGGATTATACTAATATGGCATTAATGTAACAACACAACATTTTGCCATTGTGACATGTTATTTGTCATATTGTGCACCTTAAAATGCCTCCTCTTCCTTTGAATTTGACAAGGCACTCATGCCCAAAAAATGGCCACCAGTGCAGAGAGTGGTCCACATCTGGAGAAATACTTTGCTGCACAAGTCAATGCCCTCCTTCACAAAAGTTCAGCAGTGTAGGGACAGTGAAGCACTTGAAGCAAACAAGTTTCCTAAAGAACTTGCCCAAGACAGTGTTGTAGAATTCATTTGTATTTTCCAGCAACAATTCCCAATCATTTCAGCAACACACATTAGCCATAACCATGTTTATCATGATGATCTATGGGATTCTTGAATGCACAAAAGTAGATGCATGTAGCTGTGCCTGCTCCAAGGAAGCCATCATTATTTTGAAGAAGCTGCAGGTACATTGCAGAACTCAGGAGGTTTCTATTCCAAGGGTATTTTCTGGCACAATCCTATGCACATTCACTCAGATGTGAGCTTACTCCAGTGTTAGCATGCATAGCATTTCCAGCATCAGTTTGGTCTAGTCAGTTTTAAAACATTTTAGCCAGTACTTGTTTATCATGCTGGGATAACATTCTGCGCCACAGTGCTCTGTAATGTTGCATGAATGCAGGGAGCAGTGCAGTGCATATGTACATCATTTCATTGCTGGCTTGATAAACAATGTATAACCATTAGTTGGAAAGCTAGCAAAGAGCATAATTGACTTCAATAATTGGAAAGTACGTATTAACCTGTTTAAACAGTATGCCATTCTAATGGTGTTTCCCTGACATTTAGGGAAGGTGATGTATGAGTTGAACATAACATGCATAGGAATTTACACATGAAAGGTCTGATTCACATTAGATTCTCAAATGATAGATTTATTCCCACATCTTCCTCATGTACATCTGATAAGCTCCAGTCATGTATGGACCAGCTGACATACACTTTAGTAGAATTTCTGATACAGGAGAATAGACAATACGGAAATATTGGAAGTACATACATGTACATTATATTAAATTGTAAGTCCACAGAGTTTCAAGGAAGCCTTAGCCATGTGCTTTGTTCACCACTATTTGACACATGGTTTGCATCCATCAGTTACAACTTTGTGTATATTCTGGGTCAGTTTTTTAACATCACGTCTAAACTAAAATCCATTTGAACTGCTGCTTATTTTGTCAGTAACTGTGTGTTATATATTCCAGGTTCATGCCTGTAGTTCAAGCTGTTGAAGGACTGTGGCTGTTATTTAAAAGTATTCAGCTTGCTTAATCTCTGTAGCCTTCAGTATCTCCTTGAGTGCCTTATACAGCTTGTTAATATTAAACACCTGTTGTGAAGAAAAACAATGTGACTGAAAGTTATTTTTTGGTGGATGGGTGCCAAATTTTCTTGCATCTGTGATGACACCATTACACCTTTACAGTGCATTGTGTGTTTCTGAATGGAAATGGATTTAGTTTAGACTCAGGAAATCACACTGTAAATATGTGTACCCTGTTTCCCGAAAAATAAGACCTAACCTGAAAATAAGCCCTAGTATGATTTTTAGGATGCTCGTAATATAAGCCCTACCCCAAAAATAAGCCCTAGTTAAGTGAAACCCCGCCCTCCACCATTGTGCAGCAACCAGAAGATGACATGACTGCATTTGAATAAATGTAGTACATTAAAAACAAACAAACACATTTCCTGAAAATAAGCCGTAATGCATTTTGAGAACAAAAATTAATATAAGACCTTGTCTTATTTTCGGGAAAACACGGTAGCACATCATCATTACTGTACAGTTTATTTAAAGAGCTACTGTAAATGCCTGTAAAAACTAAACACATATACAATAGTTTTCTTTTATGGTGAATATGCCATCTTCTCTTTGTGTTTTCTAATGTAATCTCATAATAATCATATCTAAAATACTTAAATGTTTGATTCAGTGCTAAAGAAATAATTGATGAGCCTAAAATAGGCTCACATGTACAAAATTTTACACATATTTTTGTATTGTGGTTCATATGCTATATATCAAAGACTTTCTATTCATTTGTAAAATACATAAATTATTGTAAACTTTTAATTAAAAAAAGACTTTTAAACCTATGCATATTTGGATGTATTTATTCTTCAGCAATAGTGGGTGATGCTTGGCATCTAAACAGAGGAATTTACTTTTGTCCATTCCCTATTTCCTTTACAGCCCTCCAGCATTGCCTCTACAATGCTTCAGAGGGTGGTCCTTGGAAGCATAGCAAGCTGCCTAGTAAGATGTCAGTGAACATTGTCTCGTTCCCATTTCACAAGCAGAAATACTCTGTGGGAGCAAAAGCTTCAAGGATAGCAAGATCAAAGGTGTTCATGGAGGGCAAGATCCAGGCACTCATTTGGAACTGTTGTAAAGCAACTCCACATATGTTTCCCCATGGTTGTAGCCAGTCATAAATACCAGAGCTTTTACATGGTTCCAATTCATTTAGTGAACATCTATGGCTTAGCTAAATAACCAAAACCTCCACCTAACATTCAATGCATTTCCATAACTTCATTTTATTTTGCCACACATGAGCCTAATCTTGAGATGAAAGGGGAGATGAAAGCAACAACAAGGTGATGCTAGTATGTAGGTAATAATGTGAAGGAATTAACAGTTGGTTGATCTGCTTGCATTCCCTTCTTTCCAAAGGTCTTAAACATTACTTGGGATAAGGGTGAATTTTAAGATGGAAGCTTATTGTGGTCCACAATACATCAGCACATGCAAGGAGGTACCCAAAAAAGATCATATTACCTCTTGCTATAAAGGGACATGTGATTCTGGCTTCCTTTTAATACAAGGAACCTCCGTAAAGTTCAATGAGTCCTAGTGATAAATTAATTGTTCGTGTCATTTTGTGAAGAGTTACAGGCACATACAAATGACCCTAATAATTTTGAGGCCAGTTCTTAAGCATGTACTTTAGATCTGTTAGGACTTGGATGCAACAAAGGACTTCACACCTGTTGAGATATTGTAGAATTTACCTTTGTCAACATGTTTAGAGGACAGTACTTAGCCCCACCAACTCCACTGGCATTTTCTCTATGCAACCATGACATAGGCTCTACACATGAGCAAGAACCCAGGTTTTGCAGGGTTCTTACTCATCAGTAGATCCTAAATGAAGGCAGGAACCTCTCCCCTTTACACTCATTGCTGCCCATATGAAGAAAGAAGTGGCGGAGGGGCTGGAACTGGACACACTCTTCTAAGTGTGTTGAAAATTCTAGGATGCATTAAAAAGTTTTTGGTGTTCATGCATAAATGTTATCTCTCCCTTTTCTGCTTATTCTCTCTCTCTCTCTCTCTCTCTCTCTCTCAGCCAACCTTTTCACTTGCATTGCAATATGATGACCTAATTCTGTCCAGCAGTTCTCTGCTAGAGTTATAACCCTATATCAAAAAAACAACAGGGGAAGAAATTATGTGAAGTCAAGGATAGTTTATTGCCCTGGGGCTCACATCGGCTGCAAGCAAAACTCCCACACTGAACTATTGCTGTTTCATTTATCAGAAAACCCTCAATTCAAATTTACTATCAAGGGACCTCCTTTTGATATAAATTTTGACCTAAACTACCATTTGAAAACTGAAACTGTTAAGTTAGTCTAATATGATAACTTATTTTTTTTTAAAAAGGCTATAGCCAGTGTTTCCACGACACAAACAATAACTTATTTTTTTAAAAAAGGCCATAGACAGTGTTTCCATGACAGAAATGATAATGTGTATCAGACACTACATTACAATTGTACTGAAAACAGAACTATTAGGGTTTTCTCGTTCTACTTATTCTGCCCATAACTTGGAAAAAATTAAGGAAGAAGGAAAAAGCAGAAAATAGGAAAGCATAGGCATTCATTACAGGGACAGCTGCTTAAAGTAAAGTCTTTAAATTTGGTCAACAAAACTGCAGTTGATCAGCGTTTGCAGACTTTCATGAATGTGGGTTGTTTTAACAAAAGAACATGTTCAGAACGGTTTGGAAGCGTTGCTGTAGCAAAAGACCTAAGATGCTGTTAAAAGTTCAAAAGCCAACAAGTGATATACCTTGCTCTCAGTAAAAGTGTCACTACCTTACTATTCTACTCCTTCCTCTCTGGGGCCAACGAGTCACCCGTTCCAACAAAGTGAAGTGACAACCTCCACAAGAGGCAAAACATCGTGACAGTGACAGGAATTCTCCCCTAGGTAGACTGTGCGTGCGCTGTCCTCCTGACGAACTCCTCCGACGCGACTTACTTCAGCACCACAGACCTTGGACAGCTCCCTGCCAGCCACGCTCACGGTGGAGACCAATGGCGTTTTCTCACCTGCCTAGCGAATCACGGAGCGGGCGAGGAGTTTCCGTATGACAAGTGAAGTCGGATGGCGCTCCTGCCTTTCTGACTCCCTCCCGTTCCTTCCCAGTGCGCCTTCTCCAGGCCTCCCTGAGGGCAACGTGTCAGTCCACTTCCCAGTCCTGAGCCATCCCAGGCAGCCAGGCAAGCCACCGCCCGGCCTCCCGCTCTTTTTTCTAGCGGGCAGCAGCCATGGCAGAGCGGAGGGAGCAGCAGCCGGAGAGGAAAGAGGACGACCTGCCCGGTTACTTTGCCGCCCTAGGCACCTGCAGCCCGAAGCCCCGGCAGAAATACGGAGGGATGTTTTGCAACGTGGAGGGTGCCTTCGAGAACAAAACGCTGGATTTCGAGTCGCTCGGCGGCAGCCACAGAGCGGCCAGCCAGAAGGGGAGCCGCGGAGACCCCGGCCAGCGCTCCGGCGGCTCCGAAGGGCCAAGTGAAGGCAGCATCAGCAGCGGCGGCGGCAGCAGCAGCGGGAGCGGGAGCCGCAGCACTCCCGTCCTCACACCTGCCGGGTCACAGCCGTGCCCGCCTTCCGCAGGAGTAGCAGCAGAACTACCCAATGGCTGCCAACAGGTAACGGGGAGCGGCGGGCGCTGTGGGGCGGTCGTTGGAGGAAGTTCAACCGCGAAGCTCAACTTTAAGGTTTCGCTTTAGTGCCCTCCGCGTCCTCCTAATCCAGGCGTGGGAGGTCCCGCTCGTTCTCCCGCACGGCCGCTGCAGGGCTTGTACTGGTATCTGGGGCTTTCGGAAGGAGAGGGTCATCCCAGCCCCAATTTCAGAGGGATGATCCAAGAGTGATCAGAGTGATCACCCACTAGGGTAAATTAAGTTATCCGCGCTTCTTATTAAACAGGGAATACATACACAGCTGTCTTTTCTTGTGTCATTTCGAAATATGTGTAATAACATTTCCCCAAAGTGGAACGGGGGCCACGCAGCGACTGCTCTCGGGAGACAATCAACTCCCCCCCCCCCCCCCNTACGGTTGAAGGCGCTCCTCTATAGCGCTCTCTTCCGTATCAGCCTTTTCAGTGAATTTCTCGCCCCGTTCGGTGGGACCTTGGTGATGCCACGGAAATCCCACAGGTAAGGCCCGCGTAATCAGTCACATGCTATTTTGCAAGGCAAATAAGAGAGACGCCAGCTTATGCCTTCCCAGCTTCTTCTGAAAGCATTGTATCTATCAGGGACTGTATAGGCTCCTTAAAAACCTCCCCACACACTTGGGTTCGAGAAGCGCCCTAGGTAATGACCTTTCAAGCCAAATGGAGATATTTTTTTTTTGTCTGAATGTGAACGGAACGTCGCACTGAAGTGGAGAAAACGAGCATTCAGACACAAACCCTATGCATACTTCCTACAGAGTAAATCCTGTTGTGCTCTCTGAACATACATAGGACTGCAGTCTTAGTACCCTAAAGTGTGTGTGTGTGTGTGGGGGGGGAGGCTGAATCGAGCCACTCCACTCCTTCCCAGCAGAGCAGAAAGTCACACATTTATAATTAATAATTTGTGAGCCCTCGTCCTGTTTCCCAAGGCGAGATCGAAATTAAAGACATTTTTAAAACAACCCCAACTTAATAAATGGGGAGCAGAATCGGCAGCTTAGAAGGGAACAGATACACATCCTTCTTTATGCACCGGATTCTCAACTGGAATGTCTCTGCCTGTTTTTGTTGATAAATGGATTTAATACAGTGCTGCACGCGTTATACAAGGGAGAAAGGAGAAAGGGGAGGGAAGTGTTTCTCCTGAGAACCCTTTCTTAGGGTTTTAAACTCGCAGCTTTAAGAATGATCACGATTTTTCACCATAACTGTCAGTGGGAATCACCCAACAAAAGTTTACAGCTTGAGGTAGAATTTTCACGGAGTGTGACGGGGCCGCTTGGCGGAAACAAAAACAAAAGCCTTGAAATCTTGAAATGCAACCAGTATATTGTGGCATTTGTTGGCGGAGGCGGGGGGGAGGGGAACTGGTGTTTTCTCAAGATGCGTATCATCATGCTAAGGAAAAGGGCAAGTGTATGTATAACTGACACGAATGTCTACTATATGTCCGTATATGCATCTTTGATACACACATATAATTTTCTTAGGGGTCGGGGCGGGAGTAGAAGCATCAACATCCTAGAGAAAGAAAATGCAAACATACAGAAGGACACTGAGATTCAACTTAATCACTGTGTGCGCAGAGGTTAAGTGAAATATATCCTATCCTTCTTTACTTGGTCTAACCGATTTCTTCTCCTTAGGGGCTAAAGCTGCGGCTCTCAGGGTGGCAGGAAACTTGTACGGAGGGGGCATCCCTTGAAGTGCCGTTAAAATCCCGGCAGAGAACTGCCCTTGGAAGAGCTCTGCGAATTTCACTGCCGCCGGCGGGAAACGAAATCCTTTTAAAACTGCCTTACTAGGGGCACTCCTTTGACAAGGCTCTCATTAAATCGGTCTGGTGGGAAAAAAACAAAACGCACAGGATCGGGCTGCCCGGGACACGCTTCCAGACGACCTTGGCTCATGGGTGGGTGGGTGGCTGTCTCAACGAAATCGACTTCCGAATATCTGTTAGTGGAATTCGGTTGGCATCGTATTAATTCTTGGCATGAGGGCTGAAACTGGGAACGAGATCCAGGGAAAGCGGAGCCGCCCAAGCAGTCTCGTGAATCGTTTTCCCCCCAAGTCATCCATGACCCCCCCGCTCCGCCAGCGAGGGATCACAGGCGCTCCGGCGAGCGGGTCCTGTGTGGGCACAGCCGCGCCGCCGGCGGGCCTGGCACCTGGCGAGGGGTCTGGGCCACGTGTCCTTTGTTGCCGGCGGAGGGGCGGCGCGGCCTTTTGTTGGGCAGGGAAGTGGCTACTGGGGGTGCTGCATTCCGCCTGCCCGCCCGCCCGCGTCGTGAGGGAGGCCCCGGCGGAGCTGCGTCTGCCTGTCTGGGAAACGGGGCGGGAGGAGGTGCGCGCGGGGGGGGGGCTGTCTGCCTGCCGCCGCCGTCGCCTGAAGCACGAAGGGGGAATGCTAATCAGGCAGCTGGGCGGCGAGGCGACCGGGCAGGGGGAGCCACCGAGCCTCCCTCCCTCCCAGTCTCTCTCTCGCCCGCCCGCCTTGCGCGTCTTGCGCCCTCTCCTCTCCCCTCCCCACCACAAGCCGCCAGCCGTGGAGGCGCGCACGCACGCACACACGCACACACACACACACAGCGACACACCGGCGAGAGTCGTCCCTCAGCTCGGCGGCAGCCTCGCTTCCCTGGGCCTGGCGCTCAGCCCTCCTCAGACCGCCGCCCCCACCCCGCTCCGCCTCGGCTAGCCCTTTCTTTCCCCGCCGCCTGCCCCTTCCCCCCCCGACCTC